TCCATCCCTTTCCTGTATTCTTACCCCGTCAATATGGGGGGGGGAGCCATTTTGAGCTTCACAGCTACCAGAAGAGAAAGAGGCAGCAACCTTGCCCACCAGGAGCTGCTCCTTGTGAGGGAGCCCTAAGCAAGAAAGTGCCCTTAGGGTGCGCTCTGGTGAAGGATATTTTCAAAGTGACTTGCTAAGAAGCCCAGAGTGGTGCAGGCAGTAATGCTTCCTTTCCATTTCTGGCCATTTCTCTGTCTGGTCTACTCACCCAGAGAAGCACAGGTGGGGACTCATCCAAGCCCCCCCCCCCCGTGCTACTCCATGGGTGGGGATGGCAGAAGCAGTGGTGGTGGCTGGAAGCATGGGCTCCCTGCACTATTCTGGACTCCTGGCTCACTTCTGCCATTGCTCCCCAGCTAGAGCAGAATACCTTAACCTTCAGGCCTTGCATGGCTAACACCACACCACACCACCACCACCTCATTGTTTCCGTGACTGATCTCAGCACCCAGAAGCAGTGGAAGAAAGACAGAGGAATGGTGTGGCAGAGCCAGTATTGATTTAATATGAAAAAATAAATGAGGCCAGAATCAGTCCCTATGGGTCACAGAATTTGTGCATGCACTTCAAACAGTGAAGTCTACCAATTACTGAAAGTACCAGCAATTCACCATGCCACTGCATTTTATTCATTATTGTCAGTTTTCAGTAGTTGGAAAAATAACTAGGAAAAATTATCCCCCCCCCCCGATGAATTTGTGATAGTTTCTTCCCTCTGCTTCAAGATATTGTTAGCCAAAGGAAGGGCGGCCACAATTTTCAGAATGGTGAATGAAATCAACATGGCCCACCCACTTCCTGATTCTCACCAAATATTGACAAATCATACCCAAAATAGCCTTCTAAAAATAGTTACTATGGTGGGCATTACAAAAGGTTGTCCCTGCTTCTATTGGTCAAGCCTTGAATGATCAGAGAGCCCATCAGGGAGAAAGAAGTGGGCAAAACCATCTCTGCACATGACGTGGGTGTGGGAACGGTCCCATAATGTGTCCATTTGCAAACTGTTCTCTGTCTAATCAGAGGTGTTTGGAGGAAGTTCAATGCTGGGCTAGTCCCCAAAATGCATTTCCCCACAAAGGTATGAAATAAGGAGATGAGTGAGCAGCTGCTTAATTATGATCTTTATATATTCCAGATTTGCACTTGGGGGCTTAAGAACTTGAAAGGCAGAAGCAGTGTGTGTCAATTCTTGTGGAGAACATGACTTAAAGATTATGATTCCCTTGATTTTTTTAACAGTATTTTAGAAATATGGGCATTGTCTACCATAATGCCAAATGCAGCCAATTTGATAGAGGCTGAAGGTGGAGGAACTTACACAGTACAGCAGACCTTGTACAAAGAGAGCAGCAGGAATGGTCAAAGAATGATTTAATACAAGGCTAATAGTATATCGACAGATTCTGTAGCCCAGGGGAAATCATAAGATCAGAGTCCACAGGAACACCCACAGAACTTTTCAGTGAAACATTTCTTTCCACTGTATTGCCATCAGCTTTTATTGCTCTGTGGAAATCCTGTGTATTGAATTGTTGCATAATTACTCCCTTACAGCACCCAGTAGTGTACTAGGTGCTTCATTTTTTCTGTGGATCAGAGGCACAAAAACCAGGTCTATGCCTGGAGGAAATTTGTTATTTCCTGTAATATATATGGTTTATACTGGGAAAAAATGTCTATTTGTGTTTCATATCTCCCCGAAAGATAATTTGTGTTGATATAATTCTCTATATTGTTTTCCCGTAAATATGGATCACATAAATATTAAACTGTATTTTGGGGAGTTACTTTGGGTAATGCAGGTTTTGGAGAGAAAACCACTATCAGAAAACCAGTCTTTCTTCCATTTCATGTCCTCATTTACTTGGGTTCTTTCACAGGAGCTGTAACCTTTACATTCACAGCTTATCAGCTCGGCGACTAGTCTCATGCTCCCCCCTCTATCTTCTCTTTGCACACCCTGGTTTCGATGCTAACATCCCTGGTTTCACATCCTGGTTAGTAATCTGTGATTAAACCACAGTTTTCTAGTTTGGAGGAGGAAACTGGTTTCAATATCACTGCAAGGGGGGAATACATAAGGACACAGCTTGTTCGCAGGCAGATAAACCATACTTATTGGCCTGGGACCATTACATCTCAGCCTCAGATGCTGGAATGGAAAATCTGTCTCACTAAAATCTGCTGAAAGTCAGGACAGCAGTATGCATATAGTTAAATATAACCCATCTTTATATGGAATTCAAGATACAATGAAAACCATTTAACAGCAGCAGCCAAATATTAAGCAAGCATAATACACTTAGAACATTCTGTCCAATATACTGAATTCATTCATTGTCAGGGAGGTCCCACCTGCCTTCCCTTCTTCCCTGAGAGATATCCTGGTCTTGGAAGTGGAGAAATGCTACTTGCTGGGTCACAAGTGTTACTAAACCAGATATAAATTGGATAAAAATGTGGATTTCTTCATTAATACTTTTGTATTTGCTATGTGCACAGGAAAAGTAAGTAAAATATAATTTAAAAAATATTTCTTGTAGACAAAAAAGTAAGGTGGAAAGGCTCAGCATTTTCACTCCCTGCCAGACACAAATGTGCTAATGATTCCTGGAAATCAGTGTATGTTTGCAAATCCCTTGGTGCAAAACAGTTCATTTGTTATAGAGAATTCCAAATGAGTTTAGAGCCAACTCTGCAGACTGAATTCCTCCAGAGATGTGTCATTTCTCTATCTCTCAGAGCTTTAGCTATCTACCATGCTTATTTATGCTGAGCAGAACAAATTATGTCCAAAATTTATTCTATTCCCTCTTTATCCCAACCAAAACCACATTTTGAAAGACCCCCATTTCCAAATTCTTCTATATACAGACTATATTTCATCTCCGCACTCAGCTATTGAAACTTGTGTGCTTCGTGTTCTTCTGTGTGCCATGTCCTGCTTTTACACAAAAGAAACACATTTTCCTACTTCTTAGGTGCTATCTCTGCCCACCTGTGCTTCTCACCTTCGGTCCACTCACAAATCTTTAGATATTTTTAAAAAATTAAATGTATACCACTATTCTTTTTTTTTTTAATCAAAGCAGTTTACAACAAACATACAAAAAAGGCATGTAAAGTTTTAAATCAGAGATCAGCTATTACAGATAGATATTTTCTTAATTGCCTGCAAAAGCTTGGTGGCATAGAAAAGTTTTCAGAGACTTCTAAATATTAAAGCAGCAGGCACCTCCCAAATCCCTACTGGCAGCACATTCCCCAGGATGGGGCTCCCACACATTATTTTGAGAGCCAGTGTGGTGTAGTGGTTAAGAGCGGTAGTCTCCTAATCTGGTGAACCGGGTTCGCTTCCCTGCTCCTCCACCTGCAGCTGCTGGCTGACCTTGGGCTAGTACACTTCTCTGAAGTCTCTCAGCCCCACTCACCTCACAGAGTGTTTGTTGTGGGGGAGGAAGGGAAAGGAGAATGTGAGCCGCTTTGAGACTCCTTCGGGTAGTGATAAAGTGGGATATCAAATCAAAACTCTTCTTCTTCTTCTTATTTCTGTGACCGAGCTGCAATATAAGGCACCCTGCACCTATGTTAATACAAGTACCTTTAAACTGGTGGTATTTCCCTCATTCTACTAGCTATTTTGTGGCTGCCACATCACATGATATTACCTATTTTGTTTTGTTTTTCAGCTCACATTAATAAGCATGTAAAGAGTTTCTCCAAACTGTAGGTCAGCCCTTTTTGAATTCTTATTTGCTTTTACAAAATCTATGATTGACCAGTCTTGGCTGTGCGATGCCCTACGTGTTAGCTTTTCTTTTTCCAATCCATGTTTTTTTAAAAAGACAATTAAGCACTGTCCATTCCAAGATATCAAGTGCTTTCCAAAATGGTTGTTTATTGTGATATCAATGCTCCTTGTGTATGCAAGTTCTTTGCATCATCCACAAGATATTATTGGCATCAAAATGCCGGCCAAAATCCCCACACCACCTCTACAATTTAAATTGGATCTACTACTTCCAGGAAAAATCTGCTATTTTTTAAAAAAAGACACTGTTGCCAACATCCCCATTGCAATATCTCAACAACTTGTTTGCAGGAATCACCCACTAAGGGTGTTTTCACATGTTACCATCAGCTGAGAAGAATGAGTTACACAACCTCTTTCTGCCTTTCCAGAGTAGTATGTGAAAGGAGGAGTTAGATCGTCTCCTTCATAGGTAAATATAGGAGCTGTTCCTGTAACAAGCAAACCCAATAAAGTATTCCATGACATCAAGCATAGGGTGGCAATTTAAGGTATTTTTAAAAGGGGAATGCTGACCCCCATCATCATCGTCGTCGTCGCCCTTATTCCCTTTTTAAAAATACCTTAAATTGCCACCCTATGCTTGAGAACCATTTCTCATAATTCTTCTACACAACACAAACTCATCTTAGGAGCCTTTCACACATCTCCAGCTGGAATAAACTGCCAGGGAGTATATCACACCAATTCTGGCCCAATTGCACCGGCGACCTATTATTTTCTGGGCTCAGTTCAAAGTGCTGGTTTTGACCTATAAAGCAAGTACTCAAGGACCACCTCTCCACAGATGAACCAGCCAGGACTCTGCACTCTTCACAATAGGAACATAGGAAGCTGCCTTATACCGAGTCAGACTCTCTTGTCCATCTGGCCACTGAGGCATCTCTGCAGCTTTCATCTGGTCTCCGACCCCTGATGTAGTCTTGAACTCTATGGCTGTGCCTTAAGCAATTTGTGCCTGTGGCCTGACCAGTACCGCTGCAAGCCTGGAACAAAGCTTAGGAACAGGAGCTTGGACACCCACAAAATTGACAAGGTGCTTTCTTCATCTGGTATTATGATGCCTTCTTGTACAAAAGGCTTTGTCTGTAACATATAACAGAAATTAAGTAATAAATAAGCTCTTATTTGTCAGGGGAAAATATCGACCCTCTTGGTCACTGTCAGGTCTGTGATGATTCCTGTCCTAAGTGCCCAGAACCAACGGCAGAGAACTGCACTGGCTGTACAAGGTACGTGATTATTCTTCATTAGTTGGGGGGGGGGGTCTGTAGCTCCCTGAAACTTGCAACATGGTCCATGTCTAGCGCATTACAGTCCAAGCTGCTCTGTAAGTTGAAGAGGAAGCCAAGCATGTGATGAAACAATAATATGTTTTATGTATCCAAGTCTGGAATGATCCACACTGTCTAACAAAATACCTATTTCAGGAGTGGGGAGCCTTCAGAAGCTGCTAGACCACGACTCCCATCCTCCTTGACAATGCCCACAAAATCTGGGGTGACCATAGGATCCCCACAACTGACCTATTTAGACATGTTGAATTGAATGAAGTGTTTGATTGTCTCCAAAATTATGAAAGGATTTCTAGCAGCTCTTTGTAGAGCCACATAGCCTGATATGGTTTCAGTTCAGCTCCATTCATATCACTGTTTTGAATATTTTCCTCTGCAATGTACAGGCTATTTGCAAATAAGAGTACTCTACCTTTGTACTTCACCTGAGTTCTTACATCTCTCTCTCTCTCTCTCTCTCTCTCTCTCTCTCTCTCTCCTCTTCCTAGGTTTTCCTTTATTTTTAACTTTTTAGATGTATCTAATGCACCCTAGGTGCTTTTAAGGTTATAGAAAATGCAATAAGGAATCATGAGAAGCAAAAGAAAGTGAAACATAAATGATTGTACTGCATATAGGAATAAGTCACGAGGCTAATAGAAGAAAAATGCTTTGAAGCATGCTATTTTTAATTTATTGGCAGCCGGCCCTCTCCACTCTCAGAATCTCCTGGGTCCTCTAGTGCTTTATGGCCTTTTAATAGCTTGGACCAAACCAAGGAATGAATGACACTTCAATAATGCCACCTGACATTCAGCGGAGATGAGTTCCTACCTTGAGGTTTTCTTTTGCTTCCACAAAGTATGAAACAAGTCTTGTGGGTCTTCCCGAACTGAAAAATCTTGTGAAAAAATTCCTTTAGGATAACATTACACAACTAGTGTCTTCTGTTGTTTGCATCGGCTATCAGGATATTTCCCTATTTTTAAAAAAGAATGACTAAGCTCCTGCATCTTGATGCATCGTGAAAATTACCAGTTGCTCTGCTATCCTACCCATCCCCCTTTATATATATTATTATTTTACTATTAGTATTTGCATCAAGCCCTACCTGTTTCAGTTAAAAGATGAATAATCTATTCTGTAGCATAATTTATCAGAAAAGCTGTGAAGAATTCAGGATAAAGATCTGCACTGACAAAAAAAAGATAATGAAGACATTTTTACATTTATGGTTTGTCCAAATTTGAGCATTGTTTGGCTGTTTATCTACTTCCGCACCCTTCAAATTTGATCAGAGTAGTCTACACCATCATGTATTTGAATCTGTATATAAGGAGCAACTACAGTCTTTCCTGTTCATAACAGTAGGCATGCCCTGCGTTTGCCCCTGTCTTCTAATTTGTTGATTTTATTACGCTATTCATATGCCAACTGGGAATACATGCAGAGAGCTGCGCACCAACCCTCAATGCTTTTTTCTTTTGTTTTTAAATTACCTGTCCAATTGTAAGTTTGCTTGTGCACTTTTTAGGATTTGTGCAAATCTCTGGGGCAGGGGGAGGGGGAGAGAAATCATTCCATTCAGGAGCATACTGAAAATAGTTATGAGCACAGTCAGAAAAGAAATGAATGCACTGAGGAAATAGCAGACCCTCCAAGTGTCCCTGTTTTCCAGGGACAGTCCCAGATTCACAGAAGCCGTCCCAGTTTCTGTTCTGATCCCACAATGTCCCTCTCTTCCTTTGTTGTTGTTTAGTCGTTTAGTCATGTCCGCCTCTTCATGACCCTGTGGACCAGAGCATGCCAGGCCCTCCTCTCTTCCACTGCCTCCTGCAGTTTGGTCAAACTCATGCTGGTAGCTTCGAGAACACTGTCCCACCATCTCGTCCTCTGTCGTCCCCTTCTCCTTGTGCCCTCCATCTTTCCCAACATCAGGGTCTTTTCCAGGGAGTCTTTTCTTCTCATGAGGTGGCCAAAGTCTTGGAGCCTCAGCTTCACGATCTGTCCTTCCGTTCTTCCTTAGGATGCCCCTATTTTCATCAGAGAAATGTTGGAGGTTATGGGGCTATGTGACTCCCGATGCAAGGAGATAAGTAACTATACAACCTTTACAAAATATCTGAAGGCAGCCCTATATAGAGAAGTTTTTAAATGTTTAATATTTTATTATGTTTATATATATTTTGGAAGTGGCTGGGGCAACCCAGTCAGATGGGTGGGGTATAAATGATAAAATTGTTCTCATTATGGAATTGGGCATTCCTGTTTTCACTGGAGAAATGTTGGCGAATATGACATAGTGGGCAATGAAAGGGGAGTAGCAGAAAGTGACCATTGATCCATCCACCTCAAAACATGGAAAACAAATCACCTGAGACCGTGAGTAGAGTGAGGTGGAACACGATTTCCCCCAATTTTTTTGGATTGTCCACAAATCAAATACACCTAAATTTACAAAGGGAAAGCATTAAGACTGGTGTTGTTTCAGGGTAACCTCATGAGGACCAATTAAAGGGAAATACAGCAGCTGCAAACACACAGTACAGTACAGTGTGGTCAACACCCCCAGATTTTGTTGGCAAAAATCATTCTGAAGTGCCTCATGATATCTCAAAAATAGGTCATCATCACTCTACCACTCACATCCCAAAACTTTCCTCTGAATCTTATGTTTAATGAATGGAGGCAATCTAGGCAATAATACAGCAACACTTTGGAATACTATTTCCTTCTTGATGTCCAGATCTCATTCAGATGACAAATTCAGCAGCCTACTGAGTCCACTAGTGGTGAATAAGCATCTGTAACTACCCACAAGTTGAGACTATGCTATCTGTTTATAAAGCTATGTCAGCACTGCAGTCTATTTTTATTGTTTTATTTATTGGCAGCTAAGCCTCTACTGTCATTCAGAGCAAGGGACTAATAACAAACTAGCATGCATCCTTGCAAATAGATTCGGGTCACTTCCACACCATCCATTGAAAGCACTCTTATACCACTTTAATAGTCATGGCTTCTCTCCAAGAAACCTAGTCGTTCACTTTGGGTACTGGGAATTGAAGCTCTGTGGGGGGAATAAGGATCCCCTAACAATTCTTGGCACTGTCAACAAACTACAGTTCCCAGGGTTCTTTGAGGGAAGCAAAGTCGTATAAGAGGGCTTTGAATGGATAGTGTGGGTATGGCCAGTGTGTTTTTTTTTAAAGGGGGTACTCAGGGGTACGCAGTACCAGCACCTCTTTTGTTGTTGTTAGAAAGTGTCATTTTTGTAAGAAATTCATGGTGAGTACCAGCACTTACTCTTCTAGAAAAAAAGCACTGGTGTGACCCTACTCAGAATTAACAGCAACTGCAGACTAAGGTATCTCCTTATGAATCAAGGTTCTCACAAGTAAAATCTCATGTTTGCTAATTGAAATGCTTTTCTCTTCAGAAGCACACAAAAACATTCAGGCACTTTAGCCTGCTATTTCAAATAAAGGGCAACTTTTCCCCAGTATCACTTTACAGACATTGCAATGAACATTTGTGAAAAATCAATACCTCTTTAATAAGCTACTGATTTCCCCTAATAAAACTTAAAAATATCACCCTAAGAACAGGTGTATTCTATGCCATCTGTTTCCAGCAAATATCCTAACACAATCAGGAATCTGACAACTGAATCCATGTTCAGAATCAGAATCTGGTTTCAACAAGGTCCTAAGAAGCAGTAATTGTTTAGGAATAATATCCAGAAATAAACACTAGATAAAACAAAAACAAACAGTGTAAGGAGCCAGGAAAGAGCTGCCAAAGGCCGGATACCTTAAGGCAGGCATGTCCAACAGGTAGATCGTGATCTACAGGTAGATCGCGGGGGTGTCCCAGGTAGATCACGGAATGAAGTGTAGTGATTGCCTTTGGTCAACCCTCCCCTAAAAAAAGCTCTACAACTCCTGGCAATGACAATGGGTAGATCACAGCTGGTCTTTTTACACTGTGAGTAGATCACAGTCTCTTGGGAGTTGGACATGCCTGCTCTAAGGCCCTGGAGATACTACAGCTTTGGGCTGTAGTAAGTCCCCCTGAATAAAAGCTGTGGTACAACATTCTCCTCATTGCCTTTAGATCAGGGTGCAGGAAGACTTCCACATTTCTGTCTCATGCACTGGTGAAACTGCATCATCTCATCCAGAATACAGCTTTCCCATATCAATGTTGAGTGAAATACAGTCATTAAAAACAAAGAGATTGATATGAGGCCCATATTTGAAGGACCTAGTCATTTGCATCCTTCAAGCAACTTAAACTATTCATCTGCCAAAACAAACACATCCTTCATAAAAAGCATCAACTGTTGACTCTTTTTTTAAAAAAAACCCCCACAAAAAAACCACACTAGGATTCCTGGAGGTCACGTCACAAACAAAATTGAGTAAAAATTACAATAGATGAGCTAAAGCAGAGAGAGTGTGTGTGAACATGAAAAGTGATTGATTCTTCCAAAAAAATAAATAAATTGGTAGGATCTTGGAATACTTCAGTGACGAAGGTGTGGAGAAAGAGGAACATGAGATCAATGAGGATGGTCTGTGAAAATCTGGCTCCAGGTGGCAAAATAAAGTCAAAGTTCACAGCTTAGTTGACCTTACTCTTTATCTTGCCACATGTCATAAATACGTTTCACGCTGATAGGAGAACAAAGTGCAAAGAATATAAGGAATATAACCGAACATGGAAGCAGTTCTCAGAATCTGTTTGAGCTTGTTTTTTAAAAGGAAAGTATTCTTCTATTCTTTGATTCTAGTATTAAACTTCCCCCTTTTCTTTTGTAACAGTTCTTTGAATGATGGGCGCTGTGTTCTTCAGTGCCCTAAAGGGAAATATGAATTTGAAAGTCAGTGTCATTCATGCCATCAGACCTGCATGGAATGCAGTGGAGGCGAACCCAACCAATGCTCCGCTTGTGGAAAAGGTAAGGATGTGCTCTTTGACCACTTCACTCCTTTGCCTTGATTTTAGTTCAAAATCCAAAGTGGATAGATAGTACAGTTGCTTATATGACATTGTTATTTAAAAAAGCAGTATTTTATATATTTAATATGCCAGTATATTTTTGTACAACTGGGATTTTCTTGGTCCCACTCCACTCCATTCCAATCCCAGACCAAAACTGAATTCCAGATATTTATACTGGATACCCACCAATATACCCATTTATTAACTAATGGGTTCCCAGTCTTCCATAATCCTGACAGTATCAAACATGGAAGTGAAGGATTTTTGCTGCCGGGACTCAAGGAGCTGCTGTTTCCCTCCTGTTGAGCAGTGGCAGCCTAGACAGAGGAATAGAGTGGCCATGTGCCACACTTTACAGACGCCAGTCCTCTGTCTGAAGGCATCCTCTGTTTGAAGGGCTGCCTGGTCCAAGGCTCATTGAAGATAAATAACCATTTTAAGAAGGGACAGCAGGGGCCTTGGAACTTTCCACTTAGAGGTTCTTGACAGCAGACATAGGCTACTCCCCACTCTGGTGCGTTGCATGTCTATTTAAATAATATACATTTGCAGCTCTGTATATAAATTTAATATACTCTCCAACATTCCCTAGAAAATAGGGACATTCTATTTGCAAATGTGATTTTTTCATATATATTCTTTTTACATAAATTTACTGCCATATCAAAATACTATTTTTATATTAATATGTTCACAATTTATAAATGTTTATATTTATATAAGCAATTAATAAAAACTGCTGGGATCACTCAAAAGCTGCTACAGATTTTAACATGGTATAATTTTGTTTAAGATATGTTCTGAAGGCCTCCCATTTTGAAACAAATTCAATTCTCAATTTATTGTTTCTTTTTTCAGATACACTATCTATTTCAGCATATTCAGTCAATTTTTGTATCCACTCTTGTTTAGAAGGAATTATGTCACTTTTCTCCTTGTAGCTATAAGAACTCTCGCTGCCACTGTTGCATATAAAAATATATATATCTTTATTTTTTTTAGGAATATCTGAATCAGTAGTGCCTAACTGATATGCCTCTGGTTTCCTAATAAATGAGATTCTTAACATTTTTTCTAGTTCAAAGTGCATTTCCTCCCAAAATTTCTTTATTTTGCTACATTGCCACCATAAATGGTACAGTAAGCCTTTTTGGTCTCCACATCTACAACCATTACTTTTGGCTCCTTTGTACATTTTGGCTAATTTCCATGGAGTTAAATACCACCGGTGTTGCATTTTTAACAAGTTTTCCTGTATGGCATAGCACGTAGTAAATTTCCAACTATTCTTCCACAGGTTTTCCCATTGGGACATTGTTATAGCATACCCAGTCTTGAGACCACTTTATCATGGCTGATGTAATTTCCTCCTCCTCGACTTCCCAGTCAAGGAGGAGGCGATAAGTTTTAGAGAGGGTTTTACTTTTTCAATTTATTACGTCGGATTCAAATCTCAAGGTTTCCTTGGCGAACCCTTTTTGTTTATCTACTTTAAATCTTTCAAATATTTGATAATACTGAAACCAATCTGTAATGACATCTCTTAATTCTTCAAAGCTCTTAAGTTTCAATTGGTTCTCTTCTTCTTTTAAAAGTGTTTTCAAGGTAGGCCAATTTTCCAGCATGTTTTTTTTTTTTTCTTTACCACTGTGGCCTTTACTCCAACCGATCTTTATATTTCTCCCAAACTTTAAGAAGTGATCTCCTTATGATATAATTTGAGAAATCTCTATGTATTTTTGCCTTTCCATATATTAAATAAGCATGCCAACCCCAACGGTTATTATGTCCCTCCAAGTCCAACATATCCATATCTTTCAAATTGCACCATTCCTTCATCCACATGAGGCAGGCTGTCTCATAATACAATTTCAAATCGGGCAGGGCAAAACCACCTCTATCCTTTATATCTATTAAAATTTGATGTTTAATGCTAGGTCTCCTGCCCCTCCCATATAAATTTAGATATTTCCTGTTGCCATTTTTTGAGGCAGCCTACCTCACTCAGAATTGGGATCATCTGGGGGGAAAAACACCTGTCTAGGGAGAACATTCATCTTTATGATTGAAATCTTACCAAGGATTGACAACTTCAATTTAGGCAAGGTTTCAAGGTTTTTTTTAAATTTCTTGTCAAGTTTTTATATAGTTATCCTGAAATAAATTTAGATTTTTGGGAGTAATCCAGATGCCCAAATATTTTGCTTTCCAGAAAATCTTCACTCCCATAGCTTCTTCTATGTCTTTCTTTTCAGTCATAGGTTCATTTTTAATTATTAACCTAGTCTTATTAGTGTTCAACTTAAAGCCTGCCACTTCTCCAAAGTTATTAAACAATTCTATTACCCTTATCAAACTTTCTTTGGGATTTTCAGTCATGACAAGCACACCATCTGCGAATGCTTTAATCTTATACGTGTTGTTGCCCAAGGTGATACCTTTAACACAATCGTCTTCCCTAATTTGGTTATTTAATACTTCCATTACTAAGATGAAAATTAGGGGTGATAGGGGCATACTTGCCTAGTTCCTTTATTAATTTTGCATTCCTCTGAGATATTACCATTGATGATTAGTTTTGCCTTTTGATCAGAATAGATTGCCTTTATTCCTCTACTAAAATTTTCACCGAATCCCATTTCTTCTATCAATTCTTTCATAAACTTCCAAGAGACATTATCGAAAGCCTTCTCAGCATCAACAAACATGATGGCCGCTGGTTTATCAATTTTAAGATCCAAGTATTCTAATACATTTATCAGTGTTCTTATATTGGATTGCATATATCTTCCAGGGAGAAAACCTGTTTGATCTTTGTGAATTGTCTCCTTCAACAATATCTTTAATTTGTTCTCGATGATATCAGCATAGATCTTATGGTCATTGTTTAGCAGAGCAATAGGTCTATAGTTAGCGATATTTGATAGTTCTGTCCCTTGTTTATGGATGACAGAGATAGAGTTCTCCTTCCAAGAGTCTGGTAGCTTCCTAGTTTTAAGGATGTTGTTCATTAAATCTTTTAGGGGTAGGGATAAAGCATCTAATTTTCTATAATAAACAGCCGGAAGACCATCAGGACCTGGTGTCTTCCCTGATTTTGATCTTTGAATAGCATGCTGTACTTCCATCGCTGTAATGGGGGAATTCAAAGTTATTAATTTTTCCTTAGAAATTATTGGTAATTTACATGTCTTTAAGAATTCCTTAATTTTTTCATTCTTCTCCAGGCCTTCTTTATATAGTTTTGAATAGAAGTTGACAAAACTTTTCCTGATCTCTTTTGGGTTTTGAATCCAAACTTCCTCAACTTTAATTTTACTAATAATTCTGTCATCTTGCTTCTTTTTTATCTGCCAGGCCAATAATTTACCCGGTTTATTTGCATACTCAAAGTTTCTATGTCTCATCAACTTTATTTTCCATTCTATTTCCTCATTTATTATCATGGAAAATTGAGTCTGTAAAGTTTTTATGGTTAGTTTAATCTGTTCATCATCTGGTTATTGGAAGAGTTTTTTTTTCATTTAACCAAATTTCCTCCCAAATTTCCATTTTTTTTCTTTTGGATTGCATTATGCTTGATAAAGAATCCTCTTAACACCGCTTTGGTCGCATCCCATACCATTTTTTCATCTGTTCCTTGATTCTGATTGAATTCAAAATATTCAAGTAAAATTCGCTTTGCCTTCTGGACTATATTATCATCTGTCATCAATCCTTCATTGAATCACCGTATTTTTTTTTCTTCCTCTTCTTTGAACCTAATTATTACAGGATTATGAGCAGATAAGGTTCTAGGACCAATTTCCACGTGATACACTTTACTTAATAATTCTTTTGTCGTCCATATTGTGTCGATTCGTCCTGCCGATTTATGCGGTTCAGAATAGTGCATGAATTGTTTCTCAAGAGGATATCTGAATCTCCAAGTATCATTTAGATTCAAAAGTTCTATTAAATGAAAAAAGTAGTTCGGAAGCTTATTTTGTCTTGTTTCTTTCTTTTTGTAATCTGTTCTGTCCAATCCAGATTACCAACTACTCCGTTAAAATTTCCCATTAGAATTAGCTTTCCCCCCAGGTATTCCAATGCTTTTTCTTCTAATAGATGGTAAAATTCTGGTTTTCTTTCATTAGATGCATAAATTCTGATGACTATTATCCTTTCCAAATTAATTTTTATTTAAATTATCACTATTCTGCCTTCTTCATCAATGAAAAGCAGTTTAGGTTCCAGATGAGATTTAGCATATATTACTACCCCTCTTTCCTTTTCCTTACTAGATGCAATAAACTCTACATCTAATCTCTTGTTAATTAACACTCTTTTATGTTTTTCTGGGTCTCTTGCAAGCAGATTAATTCATATTTTTGTTTTACAAGAACGTGTTCAACCTTATTTTTCTTAAATTTATTTCCATTCCATGTAATGCATTTAAAATCCATATTTTATTTCGATTTCACAATATACTCCTCTCTGCAGAAATTATTCAAAATAAAAAGAAAAAAAGGAGAAAAGGGGGGAAACCAAATTCAGTTAATATCAAACATTACTGTTATGGTTCCTCTGAATGTCCCCAAAGTGGCCTCTTTCCTCCTAATTCTTTCCAGTAGGTTCTCCAAAAAATTTATGCTTCTGGTGCAAATGTAAATTTTATGCCAGCCTGTGCCCTCTTTGGTCCTCTTTTTTTCTTTTTCAACATGCATTTCCTCTCTTTGGTGATGCATAACTGGCCACTCTACAGAACAGTCTCTCTCTCTCTCTCTCTCTCTCTCTGTGTGTGTGTGTGTGTGTGTGTGTTGTGGCAGATAACCCATTTAGTCGTCCTGATATCAAGGATAGCAGCTCTTAAGACTGTATTCTCAGCTAGGGGGGAAACAAGGTGATTGAACTCAGGTTGCCTTTTGGATTGACTTGGAAAACACTCAATCAAGTTGCATTAAGTCTGTGTCTTTAGGTTAAAAGGTTCATAATGAAAACAGTGAAACATCCTCCCACCACTGCGTGTGATTTTATCTAGCAGACAAGCATGCAGAGGTAGATGCAATTCTAAACATTTGTTGATACATCTAGGTATTTATTTTCAACAAAATTAACAGGCCAGTTCTCATTGTCATAAATCCAGCTAGTTTGACAAGAGGTTTGAACAAGCCAGACAGCACATGGGAAACAAGCAATGCTTTACATGGCAGTATGAATGCACCCCCAGAATACTTCTGAGTATCAATGGGGCTTGTATCCTGGGTTACTGTGTGAGCAACTTCAGGGAACCTTTCTTTTCCAGTCATTGCTTTTCCTGAAGATTTCCCTGCATTAATTTAATTAAGCACTTCAGGCTTTCAGAGAAAATAATGGGCTTCAGAATGAGTTTCTGAAAGAAAAAGGTTCAGTTGTTGTTAATGGGAAACCTTTCCATTTCTAAGCAGACAGGTAAATGTAAGAGAAGGGGCAGCAGCAACTCCAAATCTCAATTAACTGTTCTGGTGGCTCAGCCACAAATGCTCCCACTAATCAGTTCCCCAGATCAAAATGATCTTTTAATACAAACAGGAAGGTTTGGGGTTGATTTGTTTGTTTTTGATGAACAATTCTCCTAGTGTTTTTTGTTCTGCTTTGTCTTGCTTTCGGCCTTACAGATAAGAAAGGCAACACACACTTCCTGTACCTGGGAGAATGCAGAGAAAGTTGCCCTCTGGGCCACTATTCTTCAGAGGAAGAGAACACCTGCCGGCCGTGCTTTGAGCACTGTGAAGTGTGCCCTGATCAAACCATGTGCGAAAGATGCTTTGATGGATACTACCTGGCTGATAATAGCTGCCAGAAGCACAAATGTAGAAAAGGTAAAACTTCTGACAACAGCACATTAACACACTTAAGGCCAAACACTCAGTATGTTCTCCTTGATTCCATAATTGTAGAGCTGGAAGGGACCTTCAGGGTCATCTAGTCCAGCCCCCTACAATGCAGGAATCTCAGCTAAAGCTGGGCCAAAACAAACAAGATGAATTTTAACAGGGAGAAATGTAAAGTATTGCACTTGGGCAAAAAAAATGAGAGGCACAAATACAAGATGGGGGACACCTGGCTTGAGAGCAGTACATGTGAAAAGGATCTAGGAGTCTTGGTTGACCACAAACTTGACATGAGCCAACAGTGTGACGCGGCAGCTAAAAAAGCCAATGCAATTCTGGGCCTCATCAATAGGAGTATAGCATCTAGATCAAGGGAAGTAATAGTGCCACTGTATTCTGCTCTGGTCAGACCTCACCTGAAGTGCTGTGTCCAGTTCTGGGCACCACAGTTCAAGACGGACACTGACAAACTGGAACGTGTCCAGAGGAGGGCAACCAAAATGGTCAAAGGCCTGGAAACGATGCCTTATGAGGAACGGCTAAGGGAGCTGGGCATGTTTAGCCTGGAGAAGAGGAGGTTAAGGGGTGATATGATAGCCATGTTCAAATATATAAAAGGATGTCACATAGAGGAGGGAGAAAGGTTGTTTTCTGCTGCTCCAGAGAAGTGGACACGGAGCAATGGATCCAAACTACAAGAAAGAAGATTCCACCTAAACATTAGGAAGAACTTCCTGACAGTAAGAGCTGTTTGACAGTGGAATTTGCTGCCAAGGAGTGTGGTGGAGTCTCCTTCTTTGGAGGTCTTTAAGCAGAGGCTTGACAACCATATGTCAGGAGTGCTCTGATGGTGTTTCCTGCTTGGCAGGGGGTTGGACTCGATGGCCCTTGTGGTCTCTTCCAACTCTATGATTCTATGATTCTATGATCCATGACCAACCTCTGCTTAAAAACCTCCAAGGAAGGAGAGTCCACCACCTCCCAAGGGAGACAGTTCCACATCAAGGCACACTGGCACCTGCCAAACAGCTGGTGGCCAATATCCTCCCACCTCCACACACACCAGTAATAGTCATTACAGCTTAATTTTTTTATAAGATTTATACACTGCTTGATTGTTTTTTTTAAATAAAACCTTCAAAGCAGTTTACAAAAATGATAAAACAATAAAATTATCACTAAGAAAAAATAACAACAATTTAAGACATTTTAAAAGTTAAAATAGCAGCAGACTAGAACAAATTAAGACTCACATCAACTTTCTAAACATCTGAATAGGCTTGTCTAAACAAAATTGTTTTTAACAAGCATTGAAAAGAATACAGGGAAGAAAGAGAGAGCTGATCATCAGTAGAGTAACATACCCTGTGGAGGAAACCAAAACCAAAACAAATAGTAATAATAACATTAACAGCACCAAGAAGGATGAGAAATCCTTGGAACTCTCTGATCTGAAGAGGAGATTAGCAAACATTAAGCCTGTAATCTCAACTCCAGATGCAAGGACACAGGAGTTGGAAACACACCCATTAAATACATCCAACTTCTCCTCACCACGAAGAAGGCTACGTGTGCATCAGCCAGATATTCTTCTCTCAAGCAACACCAAGGAAGAGGAGCAGCAGCTTGGCAACCCCACTACCCCTAAGCTAATAACCTTTAAGGAAACCAAGAAATATCATGCTGCTGACAGACAGCTGAAGCCACACCACAGTCCCCAGGCTACATACGGACCTCCAAGACTCAGGAACTTACTGAGACAGAAGCAGGAGGACCAGTTCTTCCCATTACATCTCTGACAGAACAGGACAAATGATGTCCCTGCTTATGAAGCTGGCTCCTTGCTGGCCAATGACCCCCACATTGCAGCGCATGCCTCTTTAATACTTCCGAAGGCATGGGTGGAATTAACGGCCCCAACCACCTCGTGAGGGAAAGAGGGATTGACAGCCAACAGGCCAGCAAAAGGTTACCCTCTTAACCAGAAATGTGGCTGGATGGGCTTCATCCACCAGGAGCGCCTGTTTCACTGACTTTCTATCACAACATCACATCTTACTGGTACAGGAAACCTGGACCAGGGATGACATATCATTAAATGGGTACCTCTCCTTTACATTGGGAGCTGAACCAGGGAAGAGGCATGGCAGAGCAAAAGGCTGGGGATCCTTATTTCTAGCAACATCGACTCCACACCAAGGCCCCTCCCTTCACTGAAGACCTACCTTAACGAGAAGGCGCTGTTAATTAGAAATGCCTACATGCTCCCAATGCATTAGAAATCGGAGATCAGAGCCCAATAGGGTGAGCTGGAAGGATGTGCTGCAGACCTTACACTGCAAAATCCGAACGCAATGGTTGTACTGGGAGGGGACCTAAATGCCAGACTAGGGCCAAATGACCAAACTTTATACATACAGTTTGGCCATGCCCCACCAGATCTGGAGGCTGAAGGCCCACTTACAACTCAAGCCTCAAAAGACCAAATGTCAAACTCTGTGGGACTCTGCCTAGCACCAATGACTTTCAAACTAAGCCTCTACATTCTAAATAGTACCCTTGGAAAGGACCAGCCAGCTGAGTTCACCTTCTTGTCTGGAATCAGGATGAGTGCTATTGAGTACATCATTGTCTCTGAGGAGCTACTCCTACACATAAAGAATATGGAGGCACTGGCGGAGAAAGAGGAGTGCGGGGGGAGCGCACCACCCCTGGCAGTGCAATCCCAGTGGGGTGCCATCGCAGCTGCCCTCTCGCCCACGCTGGGCACCACGCCTCCACAGGACGTGTGCCACATCCCTGCGGGTGGTGCACCACCCCAGGACATGCACCGCCCCCACCTGCTCTCCACCCCCGGTGCCAGAGCATAAAGCTCCGCCACTGTATGGAGGTCATACCCAGATTTGAGAGTGATCATTTCTCAGTTTCACTCAACCTAATGGTGGAAGACACGCAGGACAATTTGCAGGCTATCATGTATAGGGAAGCTTTTTTAATGTTTAATGTTTTATTATGTTTTATATATGTTGGAAGCTGCCCAGAGTGGCTGGGGCAGCCCAGTAAGATATGTAGGGTATAAATAGTAAAATTATCATTATGAATTGGGATGTCCCTATTTTCATTGGAGGAATGTTGGAGGGGATGCAAGTATAGGCCATGTGGTGCCCATAAGCTGGTTCCTGATTGCCAGAGTTTTTCTCCCAGAACTCCTGCCCTAAAGTAGCCACTGCGCGGTGGCAAGCATGGAGCATGCCAGTACTAGGTCCCCCTACAGTAGCACAAGCTGACCTCTTTGGGACACTTTAACAACAATTTACAAAAATGATTGTGTTGCTCTGATGAAAATGTCTCTGATGAAGATGCAATGATGCAGAGTGAATTTCTTTATCCAATCTCCAGTTTTTCAAATACACAGATTTTCTGAAAGCATTTCAGCTCTCTGGTTTCTGTGGATATGTTTATTTAAAATCAATAGACAAAAAGCCAAAGAGGTCAATACATTAAACACACAAAGTCTTAACCCTCTCTTCAGGGAGGGAAATAGTTGACCTTGTTGGGTGACCCTTCTAAGGCTGGCCTCAGACTTAGCTCCACTGCAGCCACAGACTGACTTCTGGAGAGACATGTAAATTGTTCATTGGGGTTGCAGTTAAATTGGGTCTGAATTTAAAATAGAGACTGACTTGACCCACAACAGCAAACTCATCAATGTTTATAAGCTATACGCATTTATGTTCAACGTTGCCATGCTTGTACAAGACCTCTGACTGGAAGTCGTCTCCCCCCAAGCCTGGAGCTTGCCTGCATTTGTACTTCACATCCACCATATATTGTTAAAACAATCTGACCTCTGGTGAAGAGCAAAACCATTACATTAGTGCCTTGCTCATTTCCCTAAACAGCAACAACATCGGTTACTGTCGCTTGGTGCTGAAAATACAAATAAAATCCTTTTGGTTCGTGCAAAATGATAATCAAATTTACTCTAAATACTCTTGTATGCCATCATATGCTGAAGGACATGAGCAGAGTTTTGTTTTTATTTCAGGTTTGATGAACTTGAAATGTACATAAGCTTTTTTGCTATGAAAACCATTTTGTTCTGGTATTAGAAACTTGCCTGTCTGTCCAGACAGCTTGACACATCTGTGCTCTATACTGCATCTGGCACAACGATGAAATAAAATAAAATGTTAGTGGGGTAGTTGCAACAGTGCACTGTTAACGTGTAAAAGCTTTGTTTTCACAATAAAACTAAACAAGCTTCACCATTAGGACTCTAGCATAGGAGGCGTGCGCAAGGCCAAGCTGAGGGCAGGCGGCAACTGCCTCCCCTAAATCAATATAAATACTTAACTAACCGAGGTTTTGCCCACCTAACAAAAAGCCTAGCTACGCCCATGATTGGAGGTAAAACAGCTACACTTTACTTGGGTGTAAGACTCCAGAGTGACCCAGCTCTAGATTATACTGAAAGAGGTTGATGCAAAATTATTTCCCAGTGGTATCCCAGGTAAAGTTTGTTGGAGCTAATCAGCAGCAGTGCTAGAACAAAACAAGCAGCAGCGTGAGCAGAAGGGCAAGCAGGGCCCAATCCTGATATTACACAACTCCCCTCTGCACACGCAGCCCAGAAGAGCTCTAACACAAGAGGCTTCAGTCTGCACACTCAAAGCAGTGTGATGGAGTCTCTTCTGCCTATGGAGCTCCTCCATGTGGAGAACTCTCCCACGTGTCGTTTAACGCATAAAGAGAAGTGTACCACCCTGTGAGGTAGGCCAGTGGTTCTCAATGTTTAAGCCATTATTGGCCACCAAAGGCCCCTGTCACAAGTTTAAAAAGTGGACATGAGAACATTTCCAGGCAATTTATACTGATAAATAGGTATATTTATGGTGCACAGGCATACATTTATTGAGACCTTTGGGCCTGATGGTCACCTGCCATCTCCTTAATACTGATATTAGCAGAATATTTGGGGGGAGTGCTGCTGACAGACCAATGTTACAAGTTTCTGTTAGTCTCAGAGAAATGATGTTTGGACTCCCATGAAGTGAAATCCGTGTATATTGACTGTTTCATGGACTGCCCAATGTGCAGGTGAAGCAGAGGAACTTGACTCGGAAGATTGCATTCCTTGTGCAGATGGATGCCTCTCCTGCAGCCTGGGTATGTTTTATTTTTTAATCTTTAAGTTTCTACTTCTGTACTTTCAGTTATTTCTTTAATATGTACTTATATATTTATTTTTTGTTTTATTCTTATATGCCACCCTTCAGGGCAGAGCCCTCCCTAGGCAGCTTACAAAAGCTAATTTGTTTCATGCACATACTAGGATAATTTAGCTTCATATAGATAACAGGGCCTGGAGTTGAGCTGGATGCGGGCACAATGGAAGCTACTATCCCTGTAACCAACTGTTGTCACCACAGCAGTCATCTTGCCCCATAACAGCTATGTTGTGTTATGCCGCACTCCCACAACAGACAGTTAGTGACTGGCACCCACAGAACTTTCTCAAAATATTTCCACAGGCCAACGGTGTTAGCAACTCCTGCATACATTTAAAAAAATAATGGAGCATGGTCATATTCTGTAGTAAAGTGATATATCTAACAATTTTTAATATCCAAAAGTAACAAATAATGCCAAACAAATAGTAAGACTATAACATATATTTGTTTGGTTAATAAAGTCCTCAGGGCCTTCTCAGTCAGTACAGTACACCAGGGTTTCCCAACCTTTTTCTGACTATGGCCTCCTTCTGACCTCATTTTCTTCCTGTGGCCCCCCATGGACATAACCAAGGAGGGGCAGGGGGCAGCTCCCCCCCCCAAATAAATACAAATCAATACTAATCTGAGGTTCTGCCCCCCCCAACAAAACAAAAATCTTGGCTACGCCCATGCCCCTTTCCGTCCTAGCAGTAGAAAGGTAGCTATTTAAATGCTTTGTTTGTAAAAAGAACATGTTTTATTTATAATTTTTATAATTTATACAAAATACAATTACATAAAGTGATAGGAACATAATGAAATATTGTTGAAGCTGAAAAACACAGAATCATGGATCTGGAAGGGACCTGAGGGCCATCTTTCTAGTGCAACCCCATGCAATGTAGGAAACTCATTTGTCCATGACAGACGACCATCCAAGCTCTGCTTAGAAACCTCCAAGGAAGGAGAGTCCAGAACATCCCTAGGGAGATCCATCTTCCATGTATTATAAAAAGTAAACAACACTTATTTGACCCCAGTTATTTGACGCAGAGCGGGAAACCTACACATATAGTCCAAAAGGCACACAGGGAGTTCTGTATATATGGGAGAATTTTTAAAAGCAAGTGGTCCTCACTCACCTGGTGCAAAAAGATCTTGTCATTTGGAGGAGCCCTGGCTGCCTAGATAAAACACTATAGTCCCACACACCCTTACCTGGGAGTAAGGCCCACTGAACGCACTGCGGCTTTCTTCTGAGTAGACAATTATTTACTAGGTGCAAGTCAGCAGCAGCAGGCGACCGCACTCTGCTAGGTGCTGGGGTGGATTGCACCCTGTGCCTTGCAGAGTCAGACCCAGGCTGCCACCAGGTCCAGCACTGGCAACAAGCAGCTCTGGCTCACCCAGCCCTACCCACTGCCACCCCACCCCCACATTTAGTGGACACTGGGGTTCTGTATCACAGACTTTACTGGTCAAAGCGGGAGCCTCAGCAATTGCCCTCTCCTCCCCTAGAAACAAACCAGGACTGCTCCAAGAAAATGTACGTGGCAAAAAGGAGCACTAGGCCCTGGTGGGCTGCCCCCTTACCTGCTAAGCAGATAGTCAGCCAATCAGGATTTTTAGAAAAATGATCTTTTCCCCCCTTCACTTCTCGCTTCACTTTATAGCCTCTGAGTCTCCTGCCGTGGCCCCCCATTTATGTAGTTTTAACCTGTGGCCCCCTTGGAATATCCTGGGGCCCCTAGGGGGCCATATGGCCACTGGTTGGGAAACACAGCACAGCCTTGGCAAATAACAGCCTTGATAAACAATATCTTCACTTCCTCCTTAAGCCAGCGTCGTTTCTTTCCCCAGCTGATGTGTGAGTTGAAGGTCTGCTTGTGGTAGCAATCGTGATGTGGTGATGGAAGAGAGTCTCTGAGTTTCTGGGGTCTACTAGCTCTTTCATTTCTGACCAGTAATTTTGCACAAAATGTGTGGACAGCTATAGAATCATTTCCCCAAATTACCACAGTTTGCATTGGCCCCAAAACTGCTGTTTCATCACATGGTGAAGGCTGGTTCATACACACATGCCTTCTGCTCAATGACTGCAGCATCAAGTGTTTCTGGGCAGTGATCACAAATCAGACCCCATAGACTTTTATTATCATTGAACATCACCTCATACACAGTGCTTTTAGTTGGTAGTCAGTTTATGCTAACAAATCAAAGCAGGTGACATAAAAAGAAAAAGGTTTTTGTGCTTGTGTGAACTTGTCTAGAGTCTGATAGTTCAGGGAACTAACTCACCTTCCCCACTTCTGGAACATTCCTCCTTTGGATTTTAGGTCATAAATCGTTTGGTAGGATTATTGTCTATTAGGCAACTCTGTTCCTCTATGAGCTATGTTTAGTTCCCAAACTCAGCGTATTTCTGGGTCAGGAGCCTATAGGGAATCCTTGAAATCTGAAACTGTGGTGGGCTGCTACAGGTGATGCTACTGATGCCTAGCACAGTTTTCTCAAGGAGTGGACTGGGACCCTTCAGTGGGCCTTGGGCCGCCCTCAGGTGGCGTCTCAGTGCTCATTATTATTTACATCTTATTCTATATAAACTGGGAAAAGAAAGAAAGGGTATAAGAGAGGAGGAACATGTTACTATAAAGGGATCAGGGAGAAGGGATGAAAGAAACTGATTTGCGGGGGGGGCACACATGGATGAATGGGACGCGGGTGGCGCTGTGGGTTAAATCACAGAGCCTAGAACTTGCCGATCAGAAGGTCGGCGGTTCGAATCCCCGGGATGGAGTGAGCTCCTGTTGCTCGGACCCTGCTCCTGCCAACCTAGCAGTTCGAAAGCACGTCAAAGTGCAAGTAGATAAATAGGTACCACTGTGGCAGGAAGGTCAATGGCATTTCCATGCACTGTTCTGGTTCGCCAGAAGCAGCTTAGTCATGCTGGCCACATGACCCAGAAGCTGTACGCCAGCTCCCTCGGCCAGTAAAGCGAGATCCCATAGTCAGCCACAACTGGACCTAATGGTCAGGGGTCTCTTTACCTTCTTTTTTTTTTACACACGGATAAAGGGATTAGTTGAGTGTGCAACAGAATGTGAGTAGAAATTAGTAGAGATGGGTAAAAATACATTGAGGGGCATGGGAGCAGATAGGAAAGGAAAAAATATAAAAGAAAAAACATTCTCTGCTTAAAGCCTGTGGTTCATCAGATTCTGACTTAACTGGTTAGGCTGAGTGATGATACTTCCAGAGCAAATGTATGCCCATAGCTTGATGAAAGCTGAGCTATGGAACTCCTTGCCACAGTGGCAATACTGTAGCAAAGAAATTAACAATCTCCAAAGATGGATTGGAGATCAGTAAAAAAATATGTCAATAGTTACTAGCTGCTATTATGCCAAACGCTACCTCCCTCTGCCACCATTTTGTGACTGTTTTTTCTCCTGCACTATCGTTTTTTGTGAGTGGTAGGCCTCAGTAATTCTCAGTTGTCATTATGTGAGCCCTGGGGGGTAAAAGGTTTTAGAACCTCTGATATATAGGATACCTCTGATTCCAGAGGCTTCTAAAGAGTGAAATGGGATTTCGTTATGGGTATGTTACAGTCTAATAAAAATTGCTCCTGGACTACAGTATGTCAACCTTCATACGACAGCAGCAGGAGAAGCTATATGTTGTTGGGCTGTAATGGAGGAAACCTGTTTATGCCATCTCTTTATTCCTTTCCTTCCAACTGCTGGATGAAAATTAGAACAGGAATCTGAGCCTGCTTATATTTTTACTTAGGGCCAAGTTGTCATGACATGGGGAGGGAACCCCTAACTAAGTACCACAAGCTCAGTCCAAATCCCACCCCCCACCTCAGTGCAGCTGCTTTTAATCAAAGACATCAGGATATCTGATCACGGATATTCCATGTCATGTCTAATTTATCCTTTAGTTATTCTTTTTCCTATAACTTTGAAAACTCTGAAGTATATTATAATACTGTTGTTTTAAAAAAAAAACACTTTAAAATTCCATTATAGGTCCAATTTTCCTGTGATGTTTAAGCTTATTAATGCCAAAAATAAACCATGAGTTAAAAGAAATGTTCATTTTATGCTTGATGTTTTGTGCTGATATTGGCAGTCACCATCCAAATACCATCTGAAGAGATGGACAGACTACATTGACAAACTCAGATGGAGAGTTGGAAAGATGTAGTTCTTGGTCCCTTATAATACTCTCGGTGGTTTGCTGTGCTATACGGTACATAATTAGAAGTTCAAAGACGTTTCATTTTGCTAGTTTTATTACTTTTGTGCTCACAAAGCCTGGCAGGAATATGTTGGGAGGATCTATGACCTTGGGAATGAATGGGAGCAGGGCGACCCCGAGAAAACACATTTTCAAACTGCTAGAGTTACAAGCAGAGTTTGTTTTGTTTTGTTTTTTTAAAAACCCCAATTAGTATCACACAGAGACAGTTCCAAATGTAGATAAGCTTAGACAACTTCAAGCAGGGTTGCAAACTCCTGAAAGCCAATATTTTGGTATCTGGGAAAACCCACCCCAGGATAAAGGCCAACAGGAGGAAGCTGTGATGCCTTAGTCATGGAATTGAAAAGCTGAACGGGACCCCGAGAGTCATCTAGTCCAACCCCCTGCCAACTTCCTGTGCTCTTACTCAAACATTTGTTTGCTAAACTGTCAGCTTGGTACTTGCAAAATGCAGGTACAGTTTTTGCACTGTAAAAGGGTCTGATGCAGCCTGCACTCTGGGCAGAAACAGGTTTGTTTCTTTTCTCAGAAGTCATTTCCACAGTCAGTGAAAATGTGGTGTCAGGGAAGGGGGTTGCCTACAACCTGAACCTCTGAATATCCTTCTGTGAGGCTTTTTCCGGAGAGTTGTACATATGAAGCTTTCCTGTTCCCACCTTCAGACGAATATGTGGAATAGAAGAG